GGTATGCCCTCCTTCCCCCTTTTTGAGACCGGGTCTTACTATGTAGCTCTGTCTGTCCTGGAACTTGATATGTAGACCAGGCTAGCCTCACAGATATCTCTGTGCCTTGCTAGTGCTGTAATTAAAGGTGTATACTGTTTGCCTGGCCTTTTTAAAAATTTTTTATTTTGAGACAAGTCTTGTTAAGTTTCTTGGGCTGGACTTGAATTTGTAATCTTCTTACCTTGGTCCTGAGTAGCTGGGATAACAAGCTTGCCTGTATTTGTGATTCTCTTTGATTAGACGGGACTCTGTGTTGCTACCATTGTGGTTTCCAAGGCTGCCTATAGGTAGCAGTGTTTCCCAGCATGGAATGGCCTTTGTGGTAGGAGAGGACTTATTGGGGAATCGCTAGGCAAAGCTTACTCCTTGAAGTTACTCTGTGTTCATTTGTGTTTGAAAATGTTAAGTGATTGCTTTTAATGGTCCTCCTCTGTTTGGACTGTTGGCCCCTCTCAATACCCAGATGAGTCAACATGTTTTCTGTGGGGGAAGGAGTTGGGTTAGCCTTAACCTATCTTATATACCAACTTGCATCCCCAAACACCTTCATCTTTTTGTGGTCTCTAGGATTACCAGGCAATTGTTGATGCTGAGTGGAACATTCTCTATGACAAGTTAGAGAAGATCCATCAGTCTGGAGCCAAAGTTGTCTTGTCCAAACTCCCCATTGGGGATGTTGCCACCCAGTACTTTGCTGATAGGGACATGTTCTGTGCTGGCAGAGTGCCTGAGGAGGATCTGAAGAGGACAATGATGGTAAGCAAACCTTCATGGGCTGCTGCTTATCCTTCACGGCCCTGAACTGTTTCCTCTGTCCCTGATGTAATGGAATAGATGGTCAGTTTGTCCCTATGTTAACTGTTTGTCAAGAAATGCTCCACTTAAGTGTTTGTATACCCAATAATAGAAGCTGCTTTGAATTCGCTGACCAAGATAGGTTGGAAGTAGGTGCTACACAGCAGCAACACTGGCCAGTGGGTTAGGCTCAATGCTTACAGCCAGGGCTTTCTCTCTTGGTATCTCAAGTAGGGCTGTAGTCCAAAGAACTGTTCTGAATAGAGTTGATGGACCCAGAGCACTAGACATCAGGTTTCTATCCCCTTTGAACTTAGACCCTTTTGCCTTTTGTGTGTTTGGTTCTGTTTTGATTTCATCTTTTTGCAGGGTAGTAGGGATCATCTGGAGGTTAGGGTAAAGGGGCTCTAAGCTTCTGTGGCAGATTCAGCATGGAAACTGGCTTGTAGAGTGGGTAGCAGGAGGACAATTGGCCTCATTGATGTTTCCTTGCTCCTCAGGCCTGTGGAGGCTCAATCCAGACCAGTGTGAATGCTCTGATTCCAGATGTACTGGGCCATTGCCAAGTGTTTGAAGAGACCCAAATTGGAAGCGAGAGGTGAGCCTATGGCCGCGACTCCCAAGAACTGCTTGGGTCTGCCCACCCCATCCCCCCCTTTTTTTTTTGTCAAGTTATGGGTGTGGAATATGACTTGTACTCTTCCTTTTTCAAGGAGCTATTGGGTGGAGGGGTTGATAAAGAGTTGGGATATAGTAAGTGTTACAGAAGAGTTGTAGTTATATCTTAATTCCACAGGCTTTGGTGCTCTAGTGGTACCACCCCAGCCCTGCCTCAGAAAATACCTTCAAGGTTAAGATTGACATCCTGAGTGAACAAGCATGGCTCCCTCTTGGGAGGGCTTGGCAGGGAGATCAGACAGCGAGATGACAATTCATGTGTACACTTGCATCCTGGATATAGGTACAATTTCTTCACTGGCTGCCCTAAGGCCAAGACATGTACCATCATCCTCCGTGGGGGTGCTGAACAGTTTATGGAGGAGACAGAACGGTCCCTGCATGATGCTATCATGATTGTGAGGAGAGCCATCAAGGTACTGGGATGATACCTCTTGCCTGCGTAGTTCCCTAACTCTGAAGCTGATAAGATCTTGGATTTCATGTAACCTGTTCTTCCTAGTTGGCATGTTGGGCTTTGATCCCCCCTACAAATCACAGACAGTCCAGGTTCTCATTTGTCTCACAAATCATAGAGAAATGACTTCAGCCTCATGTATACACCATGCTGTCCTACCTCCCAAAAAAACAGGGTTTCTTTGTATCCCTGGATATCCTGAAACTCTTTGTAGACTAGGTTGGCCTCAAACTCACAGAGACCTATCTGCCTCTGCCTCCTGAGTGCTGGGATTAAAGGTGTGCACCACCACTGCCCAGCATAGGCCCTCATGTTTTAAAGGTCAAAACTAGTTAACAAATTGGGGCTGGGGGCTGGAGAGATGGCTCGGTGATGAGACCTGGTTTCCTTTCTGTACTGCAGGCATACATGCAGGTGGAGCACTGTAAAAACAAAAACACTGGGGCTGATCTATTCAGCTTTTTGCCCAAGCTGTGGTTGACCTTGACAGTGACCTTTCAATTCCTAGGGTTGAAGCTTGAGATGTGCTGGATGCTGGCTGTGTCTGGCTGGACACCTGGGGCTGGGGGGGCAGAACAAGGCAGTATTCACTTTCTGGGCTGAAGGGCTTGCTGTGTGGCCCAGCTTTAAGTCTGGAATTGAGCCCCACAACATTGCAAGCTATTTGGTTTCTTTTGCAGAATGACTCTGTGGTGGCTGGTGGTGGGGCCATTGAGATGGAGCTCTCCAAATACCTGCGGGATTACTCAAGGACCATTCCAGGGAAACAGCAGCTATTGATTGGGGCATATGCCAAGGCCCTGGAAATTATTCCACGCCAGCTATGTGACAACGCTGGCTTTGATGCCACAAACATCCTTAACAAGCTTCGGGCTCGGCATGCACAGGTGATTCCCGGCTCTCTTTGGGCTTCAGGGATTGGATGGGTGAGGGTAGGCTCTTAGGTGTGTGCATTCTGGGAATGTGGTCACTGCTAGGTATAGTGGATGAGTCCCTCCTAGCATAGTGCCAGGCCTGGAAACAGCTTCCTGAAAGGGCCTGGGTACTTGTGATCAGCACGTCAGCATTGGAAGCAGGCATTGGCACGTGGGGGAAAGATGCTTTGGGTTCTCTTGGGAAAGTGACATCAATTCAAAATTCCTGCTAATTGAGACCCTTGAAAGGTATGCAGGAAGAAGTGAAAGTAGTTCCAGAGTGCCTTCCCTCTCTTTCAGGGAGGCATGTGGTATGGGGTGGACGTTAACAACGAGGACATCGCAGACAACTTCCAGGCCTTTGTGTGGGAGCCAGCCATGGTGCGCATCAACGCCCTGACAGCAGCTTCTGAGGCTGCATGCCTTATTGTGTCCGTGGATGAGACTATCAAGAACCCACGCTCCACTGTGGATGCTCCCGCAGGGGCTGGCCGGGGTCGAGGCCAAGGCCGCCTCCATTGAGAGGCAGTCTGCACACCCTGATGAGGTGAATTGATGGTGAGAAAATGGTTGATTAGTCTGCTGTGTTCTCCCTGAAGGTTATTTAAATAAAACTTAAGATTATTTGGTCACGGTTTTCTCATAAACTTCCTCCTGCCTTTCAAAATGAGATTGCCAAAGTAGTAGTAAATAATTCTGGTGGCCCTTGTCTAGATGTCTCAGTCCAGGTGCGGTTCTGAGCAGTAGCTAGGAGATGTATGGTGACTTCCTTTTCTCCTAGTGTCATCTTTAGTCCCAGATCAGGTACAACACACAGAATTGCTTCCATCACAGTTGATGGATGGATGTATGCTCTTTCCACATCTCATTTCTCTGAACTTACACGTGGGCTCTGGGAAGAGTATCAGGGTGTCACAGAATCTCTGGACTAGTACCTTCATAAGGCCTTGGAGAAACAGCTGTTCTCTTATGCTCGGTCACCTTGAGAGATTTTTGTTGTTGTTGTTTAAGCTAGTTATATGGATTGAACCCAGGTTTGCTGAGCAAGTACTTAATCACTTTGAGCTATGTCCCCAACCCTATTTTTGCTTTGGGTTGATCAGCCTTTGTACTGTTAAGTTTCACTAAGCTGTCCAAGCTGGTCTTGATCTGCGTCGTCTCCTGAGTAAGTTGGAATAACTGGCTTGTGCCACCGTCCCAGGCCCTGCTTTCTTGTGACCAGGGGCAATTAATTAATGGTTGTTGGCACGGAAGACTGGCAGGGTCTGCCAGTGTCTTTCCTGCTATAACTGCCCCAAGCTAGAGCTGTAACTAATGGCTATTAGAACTGCCTTCTGAAAGCTGGGAAGGAATAGAGAAGAATTTGAGCCCTGCACTCATGGTTAGATGGTCTTGGAGCAGGATGATTGTGAGCAGGTGTGCACTCTGGAGTGTGACATCCTTCCTGTGATCAGGTTGGAACAGCTGGCTCTCAAGGATTAACTTATACTTTAGCCAGATATATGTTTGGGGTATGTGTGTATGTTTAAATATAAATGGGTTAGGAGCTATTAATTAAATCAACATGAAAAATCCATTATGTAAAATTGGGGAAATTAAGGCCAGACTATGGTAGCAATTTGGTCTCTCATATGTAAAGTGATTGGCAGCCAGAGGGACTAAGCTTGTATGGAGTGCAGTCCCTACTGCTTTTCTGTTCTGGGTTTACCTTGGAATGGAGACTAGGTATATTTGGACACCAAAGCAGGCTTGAACAGCCCACAGGGCCTTTCTCCAGCATTGTCTGCAGCTCTAAGGAGGGTATGTAATTCTTCATTTGCCCACACTGACTGGGCTGACTTGCCCCTGCTTCGGTGTCCATAGCTGCAGAAAAGCTGTAATGATGCCTGAGGATGTCTGTCGGTGGGGTGCTTGCCTAGCATGCATAGAAGCCTGGGTTCAAATCCCAGGACCACCCAAATTTGGCATGATGCACAACTGTATTCCTTAGCACAAGAAAGCTGGAGCTCAAGGCTGTCTTCAGTATGGAGTTGGACTCTCAGAAGCAAAGGGTAGAGGTTTAGTGTCTGATAAAAAAATATGGCTGCACACCATATATTTTCCTGGACCAAACATTGTTTTTCAGTTTCATCACCTTTTATTGGATATAGAACCATAAATTCTCTGATGCCCAGGAGTCCTTTTAAATACATATGCTCAATACATTCGGCGAAGGGCATCTGGGTGACATGGAGCAAAGTGCTGGGATGTTAATGCCTGGGTGGGGCAGATAAGTGGGGCCAGGGAAGGCCCCCTGGGGGCTGGAGGTACAGGCACCACTTTAGAAACAAAAGTAAAAACCAAAGCTGTTCTCTGCCCTTCTGCCTATTTGCTAGGGGCAGGGTGCAGCCTGGCTGTGCAGGGCAGGCAGGACCTAGGGGCCAGCTGTGCTACTAGCAGTGCCCTCTTGAGCCACGCCAACTGCACCAGCTACAAGGCAAGCCTGAGCCACTCAGGCCTTGGAGACCCCTGCCCAGGATGAGTAGAGGCTGGGGGTTCTAGGCCAAGCCTCTCCAGGGCTGTGGTAATGGCAGAGGCTCAGAGCTGGCCTCATGGTGGGGTGCCTGTTTGATTGTCGGGCAGTCTTGGACTAAGGTCCCAAAGAGTTGAGGAAAGCCTAATGTTCTGCTCTTCACCCAACCTTCAGCCTTGTGTCCCTGGGCAAGGACTACAGCTGAGCTCACTTGTCCAGGAGTAAATATACACACTACACAGTAATATATACAGAGGTGCTGGCCTGAGTCAAGGCTGGATGAGAAAGTGACCACCAAGGGTAGAAAAACTGCCAGGTATTGGGGGCTGACAGGCTAAGATACACCCCATCAGTGGTTAACTCCTCTGGGCACTGGGCCATATCCCACTTAGTCACACTTGCACGTTCACCAGAAACTATGTCTTTGGCACCAATTGTCACTCTGGGAAATTTTCCTTCAACTTAGCGCCTTATAATAACAGGTTGACAGCTCACTGCCTGTGTTCTAAGCATTCTACATTAAGGGCTAGGGACAGGAAAGATGGATCCAAACCTTGTGGCAGCAGACCTTGGGAATGAGGCCTCATTGTTAGGTTTGAGGCAATTCCTGAGAGGCTAACTTGGCCTCTTTTTGTTTGTTTTTTAAACCCCATGACAAAACACCTGACTGCTGGGGAACTGGGCAGAGCAGGCATACATTTTTGCACTATTATGGGGAAAAGCAGCCTGCATAAGCATGACGTTCTCAAGCCAAACATGCTACACTTCACAGGTGCTAGGGCCAGGCTGTGTGGCAGGGGTGGGAGTGGAAGACATGCCAGGTGGTTGCTACCCATGAGCCAGCCCTCCACTGACCCTGTGCTTCTGGAGCAGGGCATGTCCTCACATGTTTTTTTGTACCTTATAAGACACAAAGGGCTTCCCTTTCAGGGCCTGAAGATGGGCTATGGTGCTTCTCAGGAAGCCAGATGCCCTATCCCCAACTCTGGCTCTTGACGAGCACACTACCCTAAAGTGGGGTTGGTCCCCTGGGGAGAAAGTAAAGGAACCACAAATATGTGGGGGGGGGAGGCGGAGCTGCTGGCTCTCAAGGCATGCCTGAAGACTAAGATGCCCAAGACTCAGCCAGGACACAGCAACTTGTCTCTTGGGTTGGTAAAGGCTTAGATCTACAATTTTCACCTTACCCACCTTTAGTCAGGAAGAACACAGGTGAGACCTCTTGGGGTTCCTTGGAAACATCTTTTCGGTGGGCAGACTTGTGCCAACAGAAGGGGTATCTTTCCCTCTCCGTGGACCAGGATGCGGTGTAGATATAGTAGAGCCCAGAGCTATCATTTTGACCTTGCTTCCTGCTCGATGGCTGTGCACCCTGACCTAGTAGTTCCCTCAACACCAGGCATTCTAGTGCCTTCCCCGCCCGGGGAGACGTCCAAATCCTAGGGTTGGAAGATGGAAACCCCTGGGGGGCAGGCTTGGCCAACTACCATATCACTTTGTGCTTTATCCAGGAGACAGGAAGGGCAGCACCTCTGATCTTGGAGTCCCAGGGAACTGGGGCTACATACATGGATGCAGCTAGGCCCCCCACGTGCACCTCCACCTCCCTTCTGAGTCACTTAAGGCAAGGAAAGTTGTGCTGTTGCCTGTGACTCCTGGGACAGGGCTAGGGAGGTGGGAGCAACTGGAGACTGCTGTGAGAGGTAGGGGCATAGACAGCCAAGGTTTCATGCAGGACTAGGCATGGAGTATCGATAGTGACAGCCTTGGCATTTCAGTCTTCTAAGAGCAGGGACACAACAAGCCACACAACTCGGTGATGGTGCCCAGCTGGGACAGAGCTATGGGGTCTGGGAGCATTGAGCAGGAGGGAGAACAGTAGTGGAAGGGACTCGTTAGGTGGCAACCCACATCTGGGTTCATGCACAGACCAGCTTGTGGCACAGCTGTAGAAAATTGACAAGGGGATCGCCACCTTGTACAGGAGCAAAAACAAAACAAAAACCCTTAGATTTGAATGAGACCAGGTTTTTGAAAGACCTGCCCAAGGGGTGCCTTCAAGACTCATGGCCTCAGCCACTGCAAGTTCTGAGAGGAGGAGCTCTCAGGGACGCTCAGTCTGTGGGACTCTGGTGTGCATTTACTTTTCTGTATGGAGCAATGGGCTGTGACACCTTGTCCCAAGTATTCAATTGTAGTATCAGCCCAGCTTTGAAGAACAGGAAGGTGGGCTGCGGAAATTCTTTCCTCTCTCTTGACACCATTATCAGGCTCCTTGCCTCAAACAAGCTGTTAAGTAAAGCAAACCTCTATTTTCTCAAGCCTCAGCATCTCAGAGAGCCCACGGTCTTACCCGCCCTATCCCCTCCCCGACCCTGGTCCTTCAGCAAGGAGTAAGTATAGGGACTGCTTGAAGCTTAACTCTGGGGTATGATAAAGAAAAGTCTTTGTCTTACAGTAGTCTCCACGTACTGGCTAGTACTTTACCTGCTAGGGAGGTGTGGGCCTCATCCTGGGGAGTAATAGACATTGTTTTGCCCTTTCAAACACATCCCTACGGCCCTGCCCGTATTTTCCCCTAAGCTTCTACTACCTGGGTTCTGAGGCTTGCCTGGATTATCACTGGAGAATGTGGACCTAGAAGAGAGGCCCGCTGTCTGATGGGAGTGCCCTGCAGAGGGCTTGGTCAGGCAAAGGGGAGAAAAGTCCTTGCCATGCCTGAGCTGCCTTAAGTCCCTTCTGGCTTGTGACCTGACAGAGGCTCCTGACCAGGAGCTGGCCTCAGGAAGGAGACCTGCCTGAGCAGCTGAAGAGCTGCTGGGGTTCCTGCAGATCCTCTGAGTGATGACAACCAGGTGCTGGTGTGCCAGCAGGTTGCTCCAGCTGGGGATATCATGGGGGTCTCAGGGCAGCTTCTGTCCACGCCCCTTACCCTGGGGAGGCAGTGCTCTAGGTCACCTGTCACTTTGCTGTTCCAATTGGACAGGGCACTCAACCACTGTCTGGAACCTGGTGTAACTCTAGGCCTCCAGGGTCTAGTCCAAGCCAGGGGCCCTCCAGAGGTCCAAAGAGTGCCTTGGTGTGGGGCTACCGCCCCTCACTTGGGTTAGCAGCCACCTTCCACTTTGACGTGCAGAATCTTCGAGAAGCCGGGCCTCCGTCGCAGGGCCTATGGATAGAGTCCTAGGTTAGCTCTTCCTTGGTGTTGGGCAGGTGAATTACTGCCACCCTCACCAGCCCCAGCCAAGGGGTCTTTTGTGGCCTCAGAGCCCACCTCTCACCTGGAGTTTTGTTACCATATCCTCAAACAGCTTCTGGGCCTCGGGGCTGCTGGGCTCTTTGAAGTAATCAGCAATCCCAATCTGCACCACAATGGATTTGAGGTTCCGGCAGATGCCTGGGAAAAGGCAAGTACAGGGGATAGTGCTTGGTAAGGGTAGTATGGTGCACCATTTCCTCTCATGAATGAAATGAGAGCCCCACTGAGAAACACACTTGGGCCAGCCACAAGATCTAGAGAAGCTGTCTCAAAGTAAAAATGGAAAAACAAAAAAGGCCAGCCATTGTGATGCACGCCTTTAATCCCAGCACTGGGGAGGCAGAGGCAGGCAGACCTCTGTAAGTTCAAGGCCGGCATGATCTACAAAGTGAGTTCCAGCACAGCCACGACTTTGCAGAGAGACTGCCTTATAAGGGGTTGGGGGTATAGCTTAGCAGTACAGCATTGGGTTTAACCCAGTACTAGTGGGAAAAAAACAAGGCACCTTCATTCAATCTGGGTTTAACCCAGTACTAATGGGAAAAAAACAAGGAACCTTCATTCAGTCTGCATGGAGACCTCCCAGAGGCCAGCAGTCCTGAGTGGTGGTCCACAGTGAAGGCAGAGGGGTGACTGAGTAAGTAGATGGGATGAAATGGGCAGCAGGAGTCAGAGTGAAGTCCTTACCCCAAGAAATGTCCCTGAGGACTTAGACATACTGTGTCTTTAATCTAGTATCTAGGAAGTCAAACGATGAGACCGCGGAATTCAGAAGGCAAAGTCACGTGCTGAAGAGCAGTATCACAACCCTTGAAGCTCCGCCTGTCTGCTCTCTGCCTCTCCCCCAGTGGGAGGCTCACACAGGAACTACTGGCACCACACACTCAACTCCTGGTGTAACTATGGGCCAGCATAAAACGGTAGATATTCTGTGCAGCTCAACAGCTGGCACAAAATGCTGCTAGGCCTGGAGTGCCATCCTGGCCTCAGAGATGCTGAATGAGCAAGGGAGAACACTGTCTGCCTAAGCACTGGCACATGCTGGTTAGAGCAATAGGAAATAGTTACATTGCCTGCTTGTAGGAGAGAACGAAACAGCCGTTGCCATTTCATCAGAGTGGCTATGACTATCTCAAGGGACCCTCAAGATTGGTCTTGTTGGTTTTCCCTCATAGAAGAATTGGAGAGTCATCAGACAAACCCTCATCTGGGCTATCAGCATTCCCTCCTCCCCATCTCTGCCAGATGTGTGCAGTGTTGCCCCAGCTGCACATTGGAGGCATTAGACTCTGACTAGAGTATGAAGAGCACTCCATCTATACAACTTATAGATGTCATCTGTGCTGATAGGACTTTTGAGTGGTATGGCTACTTTGGGGTAACCCACATTCTGCAAGTAACCCTCACCCAATAAATTCCATGGTTCATCAAGTTGGAGTCTGGTGGCACTATTTGGTACATCACAGGAGACCTTTCTGGGAGGAGTAGGCAACTGTTTGCATCTCCTCAGGAAAAGTTCACTCAGTGCTGTAAAATGTCCAAAGATAGGCTGTAGCCATACCCTGCTCTGCACCCCCAAGCCCCCATTGCTCACTGTTAAAATGTAGCAGGGCCTTAGGGGTGACAGGGGTGGCCGTGAGCACCAGCATCTCCAGTCCCTTCAGGCCTTCCCGGCAGACCTCAGCCGCCACCTCCTGGGTAATTTCTGATACATGGTCCAGTTCTAGGACCTGTAGCCGCATGCAGTTTCTTGCTAGGAGAGGAAGAAGAGAAGCCTGGTGACAAATTCCCTGGCCCACCTCCTGCCCAGCCCTCAGTCACTCACCATCACCCAGACTGCAGCCCCTAACTCTGGTGGGGTTTCATAGGCAGCATGTCACCCTTGCCTGCTTCTTACTTACCCACTCCAACCCCAAGAAAATACTCACCAAGTGATGCCAGGCCCTGTACTCCACAGCCAGCACCACCTACACCCAGGGCCCGGAGGTGGGGCCAACACCGTCCAATCATCTGCAGGCAGCGGTTGCTGAACCGGGTGGGCTGCTGGCTGAAGAATGGAGAGTGAAGTGGTCAGGGAGGCACTGCACTTCCAAGTGTGATGCTCCGTGGAGGATCCTATGCATGCATTATGCAAGCACCTTGCCAACAACCTAGCTGTTCAAGTCCAAAAATAGCTCACTGTGACTCTGCACCCTCCCCTCTTACCACACCTGGCAGCTTCAGATTCTGGAACTACCCAGAGAGAGCTGTAGACAGCTGAGCCAGGCCCTGGAGTTCAGAGTGGCAATGAAGACAGCTCCCACTCTCAAAGCACAGACAGTCCATGACATACAACATTTAGCATTCTGACTTTTATCTGCCCCTGCCACCTAGCTTTGAACTAGCAGCAATCCCTCTGCCTCAGCTTCCCAAGGGCTGAGGTTATAGACCATACCTAGCTTTCAGCACCTCTACTTTTTGTTTACATTTTTTTTTTAAAGAGTGTCTCAGGCCAAACTGAGCAGCTGATCCTCTTGCTTCTACCTCCCAAGAGGTGGGATGACAGGTGTATACCATCATGTCTGGCTCAATTCATCCTTCTTAAAACTGACAATCTCCCCAATAGCTTCCTGGTACTTTCTAGATACAATGCAATGATCTGCATCTTTTAGCAAGACCTCCATGACATTTCCCAGCCTGTCTTTCCATCATTGCTGGCTTGCCTGCCCTACCCACACCAAACTTCATCCGTTAGCCTCCACTCAGGCAACAGTATCTGTCATCTGATATGCCCATGGTAGCAAGGACATAGAAACAGACATTTGTAGAGCCTGCCCTGGGAACTAAGTCTAGTTAGAGGAGTCTGAAGTAGGAATTGCTACAGAATGCATGATATTAAGGTCAGGATGAGGGGCAGTGAGAGCCTACTAGGGAACCACAATGACAGACTCCACCAGGGTATTTTAAAAAAGCTCACCAGAGTCTGGGAGGAGCTGGCACATAGGGAACCATTGTGAGGGTAAGCGGCAGAGCAGAAAGCCTGGGATCCAAGGAAGTCCCAAGCAGAGCAAGGGATGATTCACACCTGGGGTTCGCCAACAACTGATTTGTTCTTGTTTTGAGATGGGATCTTGCTAAATTGCTCACGCAGGTCTCAAATTCTCAATCTGAGCTCTGGAGTAGCTGAAGTGACAGGTGTGTGACACCATACCCAGTTTCCTCTATGTATTATTTAATGACTTCCCTGACCTGCTTATACTATGTCGGCTAGTGCTGACTGCACATACTATGTGGACTTTGCAGTCTCCATGGACAGGACATCATTGAGCCAGTAACAGCTCTCAATATCTAAGCTGCAAAACTAAGGGTTGAGTGGCAATGCTGGGCTGGCGGGACAGCTTGGTGGGCAAAGGTGTTACCACCAAGCCTGATGACATAAATCTGATCTCAGAGACTCTCATGTGGACTCCTTTAAGGGACTTGTTTATGTTGCCCCCTGGCCTCCACACAGATACCCGATTCCCACCCCCAAAATGTATAATAAAAACAATTTAAGTGGCACTGCCAGCAAGCCAGAGAGAGACTCCAGGTCCCATGTTACAGCCCTGCTCCTTATTAACAACACACTGGTCAATGTCTGCTCCTTATTAACAACACACTGATCCGTCCCCAACAGCTGACTGCTCAGTCCTCAGCCCCAGACCAGACCCTACTGTTCTCTTCCAACCCACCACCTCGCCTCGGCTTACCAGGGATGAAGTGGTGCCACCTGGAGGGAGACAATCTCTCTGCAGCCTGCACCCAGGGCCCAGATTACCTCATGGCCGACAGGGTCTGTGGCACTCCTGTGGAAAAGCCAAAGCTCAAGTGACCCATCTTGGTGGCCTCTGTTTCTGCCAAGAGGCAAGACCAAGTGGTATCTAGGCACGAAGGCCCAGAAGGTGTAGGTTGAGCTTCTAGATGGAACAGCCCACCTGTAGGTGACAGCTTGCAGGGCACGGCAGTAGCAGCTAGCCAGCCAGAGTGACCGGTCCGTGAGGATATTGGGACAGTGGGAGATACGCAAGATCAGCAGGTTCCCACCAGCCGCCTTCAGCAGGGACTCCAGCCCTGCTTCAAGACAGCCCCTGAGGGTGAGCAAAGAGGTCAGGAGTTAGCTGCTGGTGTCACTTCCTCATCTGGGAGCATCCCCACTTAAACTCGGGAGCGCTCACCCACCCGCCCACTGCAGGCCTCACCGGGTGCTCCGGGCGTATTCCTCCTTGCTCTCTTTCTTTCCCCGCTGTCGGGGCTTCAGGTTCTGCAACGTTAATGAGTGGGCCTGGGTGCACCATTGAGCCAACATCGCCAGGAACTGGGGAAGATCAAGTGATATGAGTAGAGACAGACTTGACTGGCTAGTGATGGGTCAGCCCTGAGAGGGAGGCACCACGAGAGTATTTGGAGAAACCAGGGCAGTAAGGGTGACAGACTAAACTTTTACTGCTGGTAAAAGCTGGGCTCCCAGGAGGGCAGGGGCAGGCACCTTGGAACAGACTCGGGCGTTCTCAAGCAGCACTCTCGTCCAGACGGCAGGATGGCGGGCCACGAAGCGCCAGTCCCGACAGACCTCTGCAGCATGCAGCAGCGTACGGGTATCCAGGTAGGTGAAGATACAGAAGAGCGCAGCGCGCATCTTGAGGATTTCTGGGCTGATGACCTCATTGGAGCGCGAGGGGCTACCTCTCTCCACTCGACGGCCTCGCCCACTGCCTCCTTCAGGGCGGGCTGCAGGACACCAGGGCCAAAGGAGACAGTGGGGAGTAAGGACCAGTACAGGGCTGTGGGTGGGGAGCTGGGGCAAGGCAGGAGCTGGCAGGGGGAGTATGAGTCCCACATTGGGGGCCAGCTCCCAGAGAAGCCAGCAGGTGCTCTGCTTGCCCCTTCTCTACAGTAGCCCAACTTTTACTAATTGGAAAAGGGTGTCTGTCACTTTGTCACACACCCACATGGTCTCATGTATTCCAGCCTAGCCTTGAACTCACTATGTAGTCCAGGATGGCCTGGCACTTCTGATTATCCTCCATCTGCTGCCAAGTACTAAGATTAGAGATGTGTACCACCATGTCCACTCTGAGATGCTAGAGATCAAAGTCAAGGCTTCGTGGGTTCTAGATAAGCACTGTACTAAGTGAACTACCTCCTCAGTCCTACACTTTCCTTCTGAGGGTTACCCTGACTCTAACCCTCTAAGCCTTCCATGTAAGTACAGGGCTATTCCTCCAAGCCCCTGCTCTGTGCCAGGCACTTCAGAGCCTAAAGTAAACATTCAGGTCTTCTGCCCTACCTGTGATGGAACCCACCATGTGCACAGACCCCTTCCCCCCTTAAATGGAGCATCCTTGGGTTACTGCAGGCCTGCCCTGTCACACAAACTCCTGCTCCAAGCTTTCAGTGTTTTATAAGTAGACAAGAGAAAGGGAAGTATAGGAGCTGAGGGTCACCACCTCCACCCAGTGTCCCAGAGAACCCAGTACCCTGGAAGGCTGGGTTCTCTACCCGCTTTCCCAGGACTTACCTGAGAGCCGGCAGCTGTTCATGGGCCCAGCCACAGCAGGTCCAGGGCGTGGGACATCCGAGGGGCCCTCAGCCTCAGACTCAGTAGTTCGGGAGCCCACATCTGAGACGTCACCCTCCTCCCCCTCGGTGCTGTGACGGCGCGGTCGGCGCTGCCAGTTCTGGATGGCCTGTCTTCGCAGGCCTGAACTACGAGGGGGCTGGGACCGCTCTGAACCACCGTTGGTAGCCTGGGCCCGTGAACCCAAGCCCCCAGGGCCACTGTCCTCCGAGGGCCCTTCCTCTGGCCGGGGCAGCTCCAGGCTGTCACTGTCATAGCAGCCTGAGCTCTGGGATGCAGCAGGCACACGACTGGAGGCCCTGGGGTGGGTGGGGGAGTGCACAGTGAAGGCTGAGGGGTACCAGACTGCCCCAGTGCCCAGCATTTTCCTTACCACCAGCCAAGGGTAGCCCACTGTCTTGTTGTCCAAAAGTTCCCTGAGTATGGAAAGGCAGACTGGTGATACCAGGGGGGGTGGGCATGGAAGGAGATGAACCTCTGATGGGCCAGCAGACCTTCCAGGGTGAGGGGAGGCTGTGTGGGGTGGGCCAAGCCCGAGGCTTACCCTGTGCTGGGAGAGGAGCCATGCCGTGAAACGGCGTATGTGCTTGGCACAGCTGGGCCTGCATGGTGTTCTCGCTGTAGCCCCCAGAGTGGAAGGGAAAGGAAGCATGGGCAGAGGAGGCCAGAGAAGGAGGCGAGAGCAGGAGAGAGAGGAAGATGGAGAGAAGAAAGGAAGGAGAGGAGAGAGAAGAATAAAGTTGGGAAAGATGGGCGAATGGACAGACAGACAGTCCAGACAGGCAGGCTCCCAAATCCCTCCCAATGCACCCACCCAGCCCCCCAGGGCCCAGCTTATGGCTCCTAAGCTCTCATTTGCAAGGAAATACACAGATGGGCTTCTGAAGACTGAGCCTATTGAAGCATCCTTGCCACAGCCTCAGAGCCTCCCGCCCTGTCAAGAGTGGACTTCCCTCCCACTTCAGGCCTGGGGTTGCTCCTGGGGAACGGGCAAAGAAGGCGAGTTGGGGTGGGGTGGTGGGAGACTGTGGGGACCACATGAGTGCGTGAAAAGTCAGGGCAGCTTCTCACTCACCATCCTGCCTGGGCCTCTCACCCCAGGCCCTGAGGCACTGCCCCCACCTCCTCGGCCGAGGCTGGCACTGGGTGTGCTGCCACAGCTGCTGCTGATGACCTGCAGTTGGCGCTCAGCCCTGTCTGCACGCTCCAGGAGCTCCTCAATGAACTGTTGCAGTCGCAGCTTGGCACTGGCCTCCCGAGCCGCCGTCTCCTTCAGGAACTGGTCGATCTGCACCACCTCCCTGGGCCGGGAGCAGTCTCTTACCCCAGGTTCCCGAGTCTGACTGCCCTCAAACCTCCCACTGGAGGAAAGCCTGACAGTGGCCTAGAGTGTCTGCTTGTGGTCCCATGGACAATGCCCAGCATGGTTCCTGGCTGTAGACACTCCTTGACCAGCTGCCTCACACTCCTGAGACCACACCCTTCCTGCCATGATCGACTGTCTCCCCAGACTGTGAGCTAAAGGAAACCCTGCTTTCCTTCAAGTTGCCTTTTAAAAATGTAATTTCATTACACGGGCAGGAGAAATCATTCACCCATTTGTTACTCTTGCAGGAGACCTGAATTTGGTAGGCATGTGGGTTCCTAGCACCACATACTGGCTCACAACCGCCTGTAACCCCATTTTCCGGGGATCTGACACCCTATTCTTACATCTGTTGCACAGAGGTCATACATTCAAGCACAATGCTCACACACATAAAAAATAGTAAAGATAAGTCTAAAACAAAAATTTAGCCTAATCTGTGCGGAGGCTGGAAGACAATGTGAAGGAGTTGGCTGTCTTCTGCCATCATATGCGACCCAGGAGACAAATTTATAGCCCCCCCCTTTTTTTTTTTTTTGGTTTTACGAGACAGGGTTTCTCTGTATTGTTTTGGAGGCTGTTGGTTCAGCCTGGCCTCCAACTCACAGAGTTCTGCCTGCCTCTGCCTCCCGAGTGCTGGGATTAAAGGTGTGCACCACCACCGCCTGGCATTTATAACCCTTTTAACCGTGTCATGTGTTTTGTCATAGCAACAAGGAAAGTAATTAAATACACCTGGCCTTCAAAGACATAGTCATGGGTATGCTCATCCTATACAGTCACCTTCAGGCACAGGCAGCGTCCCATAGGCAAAAGCAGACATGCTCAGTGCCCTGTGTCAATACAGTCTCCTCACAGTTACATGTCCAGGCACACACTGAGAGGCTCATAGCTATGAATGAACACATACCCTCACTTAGCCCAACGCACAGACCCTAGCATGTTCCTAGGTATGCAATCATGCCCATTCTCATGGCATATTCATAGTCTGAAATACATTAAGAACCATGGAGACTCAAGCCCACCAACCCAGAAACAAAGAGGTGGTCAGAAAAGACGGCTGAGAAGGGGCTAAAGTAGAGGAAAGCTAAATATGGTGCATGGCAGTAACAGCAGGATTCAGGAAGCGGAGGCAGGAGGATCATGAGTTCAAAGGGAGAGTCTACATCAGATACTGTGTAGACTGATCCAGGACAGTGACGAACTGAAGTTTACTGCGGACACAAAGACAGTGCCGGAGGCGGCAACCTGACCCCAGAGGGTAGGCTCGGGAGAGAACCAGAAACACAAGAAAGGCCTTCGGAAGCCATGAGCAAAGAGGTTAAGACGAAGCAGGTTTATGGTACCTGGGAAAGATGAGATTGTGTCTCCATGCTTTTAGCAAGCACACGGTGACATGGAGAACTGGGCCATTTCTTTGTGTAAGGCTAATGGGACGATCTGGTACCAAAATGGAAGAGGTGCCTGGCCTGGCTATCAGGTGTGAAGAAACACACATACTCCAAGTTCCCAAATCACCATGACACACTCGAACTCTGACACCACCATCACAGACTCATCTTAGAACTTATGTTCCCAAACCTTACCGCATGGAGACACCTCAGGCACGTGTGGGGATAGTGAGTAACATCCACGGCCACCTACCCACTGGTCCCCAGGGTCTACTCACTGTTGCTTGCGGCTCAGTTCCTGTTCCTTATGCACCAGGTCCTGCTTAAGCGAGGCCAGAAGCTCCACGCTCACATCCACCTGGCGCGAGAGCTCGGATGCGCGCTCCTCCAGCTCCTCCTTCTCGCGCCCAAGCCTTGCACTCTCCTGTCGGGCAGTCTCCAACTCGGCGGCCTTGCGCTCCAGTTCTGCCTGTAGCCGGCCGACCTGGCCGGCAATCTTCTGCTCCACCTCCTCGCTTAGCCGCTCCAGCCTCCGGTCCACCTCCAGCTTCTCCAGCGCGCGGATCTTGAGGCGTGCCAAGCCCTCTTCATAGGAGACATCCGCAGGCGATGGCGATGCCGGCGACGCGGAGGCGGGCCCAGAACAAGGACCAGGGCCAGGCCCGGGTGGCGGCGTCGAGCAGGCCGAGGATGCCACGGACTTGCGCGCGAACAGCTCGCCGAGTGGAATCTCGATCTCACGTAGAGCATAGCGCGCGGCAGGCACTAGCCCCGGCTCAGCCAGCTCCTCGCAGGGCAGGCTGGCGGGCACGAGGTCGCCGGGGAAGTGAGCCAGCGGCGGGTGATGGTGATGATGGTGGAGCAGGTGCGGCCCCGAGGGCGCCGGCCATGCCGCCTGCTCCTTGCCCTGGAAGGACGTGCTCTCGAAGACCTCGCGCCGGGCCCCGGGCACCGCCAGCAGAGCGGCGGGCTCAGGCGCCAGCGGGAAGCCGGAGGCTGCTGCAGCCGCGGCTGCAGCAGCGGCCGCGCCGTCGCAGATGCTGTTCGTCTTGGAGAGGATGTAGAGCGTCTCGTAGGTGTGGCTGTATTCCAGGTGCGCGCGCAGCGACGACAGGCTCCGGAAGCGCTTATGTTCCCCGCAGCGCGGGCATCGGTACGGTAGATCCAGCGAGGCCATGGCCCCGCCGCCCTCGGGGCGCGCCGGCTCCACCGCGGCCGCCTCACCGGTCAGCCGGGCGCAATCATGGGGGGCCGCGGGTGGGCCCGGCCTGCGGGGGGACTCTGGTCACCAACAGTCAGGGCCAGGGAGGCTAGGAAAGAGAAAGTGAGGATCAGTGGCCATCTAGCCCTGCTCCCACCCTCAATTCCCAGGTTCACAAAACCTGTACCCTGGCTCCATGGATATGCCTAGGATCAGAGCTCTGGGATCTGTGCATCAGAGTGCAACGTCCCCTTGTTGATTAAGACAGGTTCTTGGTCCCTAGACTTGCTGGCCTGAACTCATGATTTAACTCAGGCTGGCTTCTGACTTTCAGGAATTCGCTTTTCTTAGACTCTTAGTGCTGGGATTACAGGCACGAGCCACTTTGCCTGGTTTAAAGGAATTATTTTTAAAAAATTATTAAAGGAGCTGGGCGATGTTGGAGTATGCCTTTAATCCCAGAACTCAGAAGGCAGAGGCAGGCGGGTCTCTGTTGAGTTCGAAGCCAATCTGGTCTACAGAGTGAGTTCCAGGACAGCCAGGGCAACACAGAGAAACCCTGCCTCCAAAATCAAAACAAAACAAACAAAAAATTAAAGGAATACTTCTAATTACAATGATTCCTGACCTAGAAAAAAGTGCCCAAGCATGCAACAGCAGAATGAGATTCAGGTGTGGCATATATCAATCCCAGCACTCAGTGGGCCGAGGCAAGTGAACTGTCAAATGAGGATTGTCACAGAATTACGAAGATCCCAAACAAGAAAATAGATCCATTGTATATTCATAATGGAGTGCTATTCTGTAGTAAGAAAGGAAGTAACAACAGATGAATATATGTAGTATTATGGGAAGGAAGCCAAACAGAACACACTGCAAGATTCCAGAGTTGCAAGGCAAGAACAGACAAAAGTGATGGCAATGCAAATCAGGATAGAGGTTTGTGCCTCTGGTGAATTGTGAAGGGGTGGAAAGGAACCCCACACACTGTTGAGAGTATAGCTTAACCAAGGGTCGTGTTTATGCCTGTGTGGATACAATCATCAAGACATGTATACAAACCCTGGGGTATCCCATGTACCCTAGCTCATGTATGTGATATCCAAGAAGGTTCTCAAACAGATGCTTAATTTCCATCTTATGAAGACCACATCCATCCTGCAGGCAGAACTAGGTTGTAGGGACTAAGATGCTCATGTAGCTACGATGCTGTAGGTGGCACTGTTCCCATGCCCCCCATCCAGGCACTTTGTTACCTCCCTCAGACTTGGAAAAGATTAGGTTGGCCTCTGGGGAGTGTTCTTGCCCTTCCCTCCAGGACCCTATTGTCTTTCCTCTCACACCATTCCTGACAAGGAGCCTACCCATTCTGACACCCATCTCCTTCCTTCTCAACTCTTGCTGCCCATCCCCCACCCGTCACTTCTCACCTCCCCCTCTTGTGACTTCTCCACGCCTACCACTTAACTGCCTGGATTCATGCACCCTCGGAGGACAATCCGTTGGCATCAAGATCGCCAGCCCCTTTATCTGTCGGCGGGTGCTTAACCACTCCATCCTCATAGGCTGCCACGACACTGCCCAGGGTGGACTTTCCTCAGGGTTCCGGGACTTTCTGCTCTTAACCAAGTCCAGCCTCTCTCTGCATGGGGTGATCCCCATCGCCTCTCTCTGCTCCTGCTTAATCATATCTTGAGGCTGCTCTCGGCTCCACCTCTCCTTCCTAATGGGCTCCAGAGTTCTTGCCTTCTGTCAGTTCCTCGTGGATATATAGAGGCATCTTTTCCCCAGGCTGCCCAGTGCCCAGCCTCCTCCTCTATCTGCTTTGATCTTGGGGCGTCTCCTTTCCCACCTTTTCTGTCGCTCCACGCGGTCTGGGGCACATGATCAACTCCCCCTTTTGCTTACACAGGGCCTGTGTTCTTTGTATTGGGGAGATTTTTTTAACTGAGAAATTAGAGATAAAGATGATTTCCTTTTTCAAATAATAGACCTTGTGATAGTGGCTTTTTTCCTCCTTTACATTTATTCTGTGAGGTGGAAGATCTTGTCATGGCACACATTTAGAGGTCAGAGGTTAACCTGTGGGAGTCGGTTCTTTCCTTCCACCAGAAACAAACTTACATTGTCAGGCTTGGCGGTAAACCTGCTAAGCACCTTTGCCACTGAGCCACATCCCTGACCCCGTGGCGGTTAGTGCAAGCTCCTTCACAGAATCTAGACTCATCTGGGAATTGGGCCTCTTGGGAATTTTGATTTCAGTCAAGGTGGAAAAAAACTGCCCACTGTAGGTGGCATCATTCCCTGGGGGATCTTGTGTGTACATGGAGAAGGAACTGAACAGCAGCTTGTTCTAGCCCTCTGCTTCCTGATCCCACGATGCTCAGCTCCACAGGCTCCTGCCACTTTGACTCTCCAACCATGAACAGTACCCTGAACTTCAAACTAAAATAAACTTTTCTCCCATAAATTGTTCTTGTTAAGAGTAGTTTATCGGGGCTGGAGAGATGGCTCAAAGGTTAAGAGCACTGACTACTCTTCCAGAGGTCTTGAGTTCAATTCCCAACAACCACATGGTGGCTCACAACCATCTGTAATGAGATCTGGTGCCCTCTTCTGGCATGCAGGAATACATTGAGGCAGAATGTTGTACACACACGTACACACACACACACACACCCACCCACACACACACACACACACACACACACACACACACACACACACGAGTAGTTTATCATAACAAGAAGAGAAATTAAGATAGGGGGTATAAAACTATCACTTTCCTCTCTCCCCAGTCAAAAGTTGGTGGATGAATGCCTTTATCCCAGCACTCAAGAAACAGGCAGGCAGACTTCTGTTGAGTTGGAGGCCAACTGGTCTACCTAGTGAACTCCAGACCAACCAAGGCTACATAGAAAGACCTTGCCTCAAAATACAAAGAAACGAACAAAAAGTTTGTGAACGCTGTCACAACAGCAAATCCACTGATTTAACTGTCATTCACAGCCCCTGGAGCTGAGTCCACATCCCCACAAAGACTATGACATTAGCAGAAAACTGTTAGGATATTATCAGGTGTGGTGGTCTTTCCTGTGGTCTCCTCAGTAAAGTCAAACAACACCCACTTCAACTGAGCTCAAAGCAGGAGAAAATAGCTTGCCTACAGAGGACCCTTCTGCCTGGGGCCAGTAATCTAATACGGCTGAGAAATAATGAAGAGCCAGTTTGTAGCTTTAAACTAAAGTGAACTCAAGCAAAGAGAGAAGGCAGGAAACTCAGAGAGGGGGCATTCTGGGGCCTGCCTGCTCTTGAGTCCACTGGCCCTTCTGTGTCTTCTCCATGGAAACATCCCTTATAAGCAGTCTTTTGTAGGTATTGGGGGGGTTACAGCTTGAGTAGGAAGGGGCCAAGAAGCTAGGGACCTCGTTAGAACCCTCCTTAGCCTGGGCTCCTGCAATGGATGGCACAAGGGAGCCTGTTGCTAAGAGACAACTCCTATTCCTCCTCCCAACCACCATCAGGGAATCCATTCTAGAATTACAACTTCCAATGAGGTCTCTGGCTTTGGGTAACAACTCTGGGGATAAAGAAGGCAAGTTGATGGAAAGCCCTCCTGAGAACCAAGGCCAGTATATTGCTAGAAAAGGCTGGAAAGCAAGTTATTGGCCCCTAAGACTGTGCCCTCTCCATGCCCACACAGGCCTCAGTCCTCTCACAAACAGCCTCACTAGGGATGGAGACTGCAGCATCGAAGCACTTGGCTGGGGAGGTCAGAGAATCTTTGCTACAAGTCAAAAGGGTGGGCTGTGGACCAGATGTTTTTCTGTGGGAACACCAGACCTTGAGCAGAGACCCACTTCCCCTTCTGCCTGGGAGTAGGCAGCTGTAGACAATGTTTAGTAAAAACATGTTTACTAAAAACGATACAATAAGTTCCTGGAAAAGGCCTTCCCACGGAAACCGCCCTGACCTCGACCTTGTCTAAAGACTAACCGCACCTTCAAAAACCCACACACATCCACCTCTGGTGTCAGAGCAGAACCAGCCAGGGGAGAGGAGAGAGCAGAAGCTTCTCTGGTGGGAGCTTTTCTTAGGAGGTTTTCTTGAACCTTTTTGGAGCCTGTTTAAAGTTTTCTTTATATCGTTGAACGAGTCTCTGTGTTGTCAATCCCCGACACCCTCCCACGTTCTCGGACACAGGCCGCGCAGCGGACGTGACATTTTTCCTCCCTTCCCCTCTCCAGCTAGGTAGTTTCTTTTTCTTTGTTCTTTCAGCTATTCAGTTTTCTCTCCATCATTCTATTCTGGCCACAAACCACAAGACCCCGAAGACTAGATTACTACTTAATCAGATATAGCACAATATTGTACAGGGCTGGACGTGTCTCGGGGTGAGAATGTGGGGTTGCTTCCTCTGGGGACATGAAAACTATGGTGTAAGTTTGTGATGGATGGCTGTGCTGGGATGAACAGGAAAAACATTCTAAATTATTCAACAGTTAAGAAGTCATGTGTTTAATAAACAGCTCTACTGTTGTGCTACTCTGCTATAGTTCTTTATTTATTTATTTTGGTTTTTCGAGGCAGAGTTTTTTCTGTATTGTTTTGGAGGCTGTCCTGGAACTCGCTCTGTAGACCAGGCTGGTCTCGAACTCACAGAGATCCGCCTGCCTCTGCCTCCTGAGTGCTGGGATTAAAGGCGTGTGCCACCAATGCCCGGCTCTCTCCTATAGTTCTTGATTAGATTCCAATTTTTCTCTTAGAGAACTGTTTCCCACCAACTCTTGAGATGGTAGAGCTGACCACAGCCCCTGGCTCCAGGGAAGCACGGGTGGTCTTACTCTCTTGTCAGAGGCCTGGCCCTCTGGAGAGAAGGAACTTCCCACTTCTGTCTTAATACAGACACCCCAGGACATGTGTGCAGCTGGCAGGACAGGAGCATGGGGCTTATGGTGGCCTTACTGTCTTTTCAGTGGGATAGAAGAACAGGACTCGGGGTGTCACTTGAACAGTGGCACCCACATATGCCCAAGGCTTTTGCACAGCACAGTCTTGTTGACAGCATGTCTGTGACTACAGGCTCCCATGTGCTGAAGCATGTATGTG